TGATGAGAGAAGGTAGGTATATGTAGTAGACAATTCTAGCGGACTAGGTTGAGGTCCGGCGGGCGGCCAAGGCGAGGTTGCCGCCGCCGCGGTGAGCGAAAAAATATTAAATTCTTAACCTTGCTCTGATACCATGTAAGAATTTATGATTATTCGATTTGATGTCTTGTCTTGATTGATAGATTACAAGATTGATTAATTACAATTCCTATACAATCTATATATAGAAGAAAATGTGGTAGTAGGTGTAGTGGAGGTGATAGTGGGTTAGGTGAAGTGGAGTGTGTAGTGGAGTAGGTGAAGGTAAAGATGGGAAATTCTAACTGTGGTAGATCAGAGTATGTGTTGTATCGAATGAGATCTTGATCTCTTTCTTGTTAGAACTATGCTTTTGTATGCTAGAAGTAGAAATCATTGAATTCTGTTTTGCCTTTTAGGAATAAGATTCCTAAGGATATGTTTGGTTATTTTTTTGTTTTTTGTTTTAATTTTCCCTAAACCAGAACTTTTTTGGTGAACTATTTCTGAAAACTATTTTCTGCAATATTTTTTGAAGGATGCGTTTGGACCATGGATTTGGGTGAGATTTGGAAATGGAAAGAGAAGATGTGTGGACAATGCAAATGAAATTTAAGCTAATTTTTTTTCTCTATTGCCTTTTTCCTTTCCTTTTTCCTTTCTAAATAAATGATCCAAACGTACTGGAAAAGAACCCATGTTTTGGGAAACAACAAAAATTTATTTTGGAGTTTTTGAAAATTGTTTCCATACAAAAAGAGTGTTTTCAAACTTTGTATTGTTTTTGTTTTTGAAAACAAGAAAAATAAAAACAAAGAAAACAAAAACACAACCAAACTACCCTTAGGTACCTTGCATAGGTTAATGAGACATTAGATTTCTTGGAAAAATACGTGCTCAATCTGGAGTTTAAAAACTTATTAGTACTCCCTTGATGGATATCAATATTCGGATTTTAGAGTTGCGGGTATTTTTTTTTCAAAATTGGTTTGCATATTTGCTATAGATGGAGCCTCGTGCATAGGGTGTTTTGGGTTGCATATTCTTCAAATTGCTTTTACAAAAATGCTCGGGACTCCCAAAGTTGAGGACCCCATGACACCCAAAATGATGTAGACTAATCATGTGTTTTTGTTTTGTTTTGTTTTGTTTTGTGTTTTTTTTTTTTTTCTTTCCTTCCTGGACCAGTGGGGGTTGTGAAGGTTATGTTTTTTTGGGTTCTGTAGCATTGTTGTTGCTTTTATTCTTGCTCTGTCGTGTTGATAAATTTTCTAGGAAGCTTCCATCCTTTCCCTTTAGTTTTGGCTGGTTTCCCCATCTATAGTACATTGTTGTGTTTCCTGTAACAATAAATAAATGAATATATGAAAAATAGCCTATTAATGGGCATGCCAAAAATGTTGGATGTGATTATTGAATCATGCAAACATGGACTGTTGTGTGTTTTGAAGTTTGGAATGTACGGATCTATTTCTTGTTTTGTGTGTTGTCCTCTATACAGAAACACGGGCTATTTGTGGTGCAAAAAATTAAAGACTGAAATGTTCCATTTAATTTAATAGTATTAGTGGAAACTATGACTATACTAACTAGGGGTTACGAAGTAGAGCTGTTCAAAAATCCGCCCGACTTGCCCAACCCGACTCTACGCCTAACAAGCAGTTTAGACAATAGTTTGGATCGGTGGCTGATTAAAATTCTGCATTTTCTCGGTTTGGTGGTCAGATGTTGGGTAAGTGATTCAAAAATCCATCCCACCCGACCTGACCATACTACAAAGAGAAGCTTTTGCGGTCTACGTGTCATACTCTAATGGGCTTCAGAAATTACATTTCATCTTGATCTCTTTCATATCAGGTAATAATAATAACCTAGAAATCTACAACCTAGAGATCTACAATGATAACTCAGAATCTATAACTTACAATGATGACCTAGAGATCTATTACCTAGAGATTTACACAACTCAGCCTACAATACAGCTCAAGAGTACTGCAACTCAAGAGTCTACAAACTCTTCATCTGCTTCTCTCTCTTTCTCTCTCTCGTTTTTATCATTCCCTAATGCTGTGTTGTGTTTAGTTGGGAGATTTGGGAAAAGATTTGGAAAGAGAAAGAGAAAAGGTAGGTGAAATGTGAATAAAATATCCTTACATTTCACATAGTTTCACATACCTTTTTCATTTCCCTTTCCAAATCCATTCTCAAATCTCCCAACCAAAAACAGCGTAAGTCATTTATCTCTTCCTCTCCTCTCCTCTCTCTCTCTCTCTCTCTCAATTTGCAAAAGATATCTCCCTCTCAATTTACAAATGGCCATAGACGATTGACGTCGCTGCTGCTCCTATTCTATCTTGGCTTTGCCATCCCTGCCGCTACCTTCACATTCTCCACTGCCGCAGCTTAGCCGAATCCCCTTCAAAGAGAAACCCTAGATCCTTCGGCTCTCTACTTCGCCAATCATCGTGATTTGTTTCGCTGCCATAGCCAATATCAAAGTTCCTCTTTTTCTCACTACTCTACTTTGACTATAAATTATTTTCAATTGAATCACGAATGAATTTTTTAATTTTATTTTTTTGTTACAATTTTTTGTTCTTTAAACATGTTGAAATGTTTTTTTTATCCAAATATACTAAAGGGGTTAGGGACAATGATGAGTGGTCAGTTTCAACTACTGACTGAAACTTTTGAACTCGTTCCATTCGGTTTCAAACATGTAAAGGGTTGAAAGCAGGTAGTTCATTTTCCAACCCGATATGGGCAGGTCGGGTGGCGGATATACAGCAAAATTGATCCAATCTAACCCGTGAACATCCCTATTAAGAAGCATTGACACTTCTAAGATGGTAGCATGTCCATGTTGGACACTGACACTCGTGGACGCTTCTGGACACTCTCTGTACACTTGCGTGTCTGTTTCTTATTATTGTAGCTTGTGAAATTCCCTTACCAAATGAAATTCTTTACTTATTTTGGCCTTAAAATCAACATAAAGATTTTGATGAGTTTATTAGAGGATGTGAGTATGTGGGTCCTCCTTTATTTAATGCAAGATTCACATAGTCTAATCTTAAGGAAAGTCGAGTATGTTGTAGATTGGATAGATTCTTATTCTTTTTGGGTTGGGAGGGGGTTTTCCCCAATGTGAGACAGGAGGCGTTTCCAAGATTGGTGTTCGATCATTGTCCCATTATCATGGAGAGTTGCCCTTTTAAGTGGGGCCCGACCCCATTTAGGTTTGAAAATGTGTGGTTGGAACATCATTTGTTCAAGGAGAACTTTGCGAGATGGTGGAATAGTGCTAAATGTCATGGGTGGGAGGGTTTTAGATTCATGAGAAAGCTGAAGGTTATTAAAGAGCACGTGAAAATTTGGAATAGGGAGGTGTTTGGGAATTTGGAATCATCAAAATTTCAAGTTATGAGAAGAATTGTGGAGATAGATTCTTTGGAAATGAGGTTGAGGAATTGAGGAGTGAGAAGAGGGAGTTAGGTGTGAAGTTATTAGAGTTGACTCTTAGAGAGCAGATTTTTTGGGCACAAAAAGCAAAGGTGAGGTGGCTAAAGGAGGGGGATGTTAGTTCAAAGTTCTTTCATAGGATTGCGGATGGGAAAAGGAAGAAAAAGTTTATTAAGAGGTTGGAAGTAAGGCGAGGGATAGTGGTAGACTCAGAGGAGCAAATAGTCCAAGGGATTTTTGAGTTTTATTCAAATTTATTTTCGAAGGATGGGTTAGTCAGGCCTGGGATAGAGGTGCTTGAGTGGAAGCCTATCGATCAGGAAAGTGCGACTTGGTTAGAAAGACCTTTTGAGGAATTGGAAATTAGGGATGTAGTTTTTGAGTGTGAGAGGGACAAGGCTCTAGGATCGGATGGGTTTTCCATGGCTATTTTCTAAGATTGTTAGGAGGTGGTGAAGAGGGATTTGGTGAGAGTTTTTATGGAATTTTATAAGACAGGGGTGGTTAATTTATGTGCAAATGTCACATTTATTTGTTTGATTCCTAAAAGGGATGGAGCCATCAGAATTGAAGATTTTAGACCAATTAGTTTGGTGACATCACTCTACAAGATTCTAGGGAAGGTTTTGTCAAAAAGGTTGAGGGCCTCTTTAGGGGATACAATTTCTCCGACTCAGGGGGCTTTTGTGAAAGGCAGACAGATTCTAGATGTGGTTCTGGTGGTTAATGAGGTGGTCAAGGAGTGTAGGAAGGCAGGAAATAGAGGTCTTGTGTTTAAGGCAGATTTTGAGAAAGCATACAATCATGTAGATTGGAATTTTTTGGATTTTGTGATGGATAAAAAAGGATATGGGGAGAGATAGAGGTCCTGGATTAGGGGATGTTTGGCGTCTTGCAATATGTCGGTAATATTCAATGGTAAACCTGGGCAGAGTTTTAAGGCATCCCGAGGGTTGGGACAGGGCGATCCCTTATCTCCTTTTCTATTCATCATGGTAGCAGATGTGTTAGGAGGATGGTGGATAGGGCTAAAGAGGTAGGTCTATTTGAAGGCGTACAGGTTGGCAGAGATAAGGTTAGTGTGACACATTTGCAATTTGCAGATGACACTATTTTCTTCTCTGAGGGGGACGAGAGCCAAATGGTTAATCTCTATTCGGTGGTAAGGCTTTTCGGGGTACTGTCTGGTCTTAGGGTAAATTTAGAAAAGAGTAGGGTAGCGGGTATTAATGTGGATTCAAGTTTGATTCAGAGAGTGGCTGAGTTACTTGGGTGTGGTATAAAGACATTTCCGATGAAGTATTTGGGGCTCCTGCTTGGAGGTAATCGAAGGGGTGAGGTGTTTTGGAATCCGGTCGTGGAAAAGATAGGGAAGAGGTTAGAAAGGTGGAGTAGGGTTTACTATCTCGGGGAGGCAAGTACAAATGGGTTAAGACAGTACTAAATGGAATTCCAATTTATTTCATGTCTATGTTTAAGATTCCAGTCAAGGTAGCAAAATTTGTAGAAAAGTTATTAAGGGATTTCCTTTGGGAAAGGAAAGATGAAGGTCGGAAGGATCATTTGGTGATGTGGGAAACGGTGTCCTTATCTAAGGAAAAGGGGGGTTTGGCCATTGGTAATATAGTGGCTAGAAACACGACTCTGCTGGGCAAGTGGTTATGGAGATTTCCCACTGAGTGTGATTCATTATGGCATGCGGTTATTAAAAGTAAATATGGGATTCAGGTTAATGGTAGGGACTCTCAGGTGGTCACGAGAGGAACCAGGCATGCTCCTTGGAAGTCCATTTTTCAGATTTATCCCGTTTGGTCCCAATTCATTTCTGTGAGGATGGGTAATGGGGAAAAGGTCAAATTCTGAGAGGATGTTTGGGCGGGTTCCTCGTCCTTGGCGGAATTTTATCCACTCTTGTATAGTGTTTCTCAGTCTCACTATGTTTCTGTTGCGTCTGTGGCGGGTTCTTTAGTGGCTCTTTTTTCTTGGAATTTTAATTTCTGCCGGAATTTTCATGATAGGGAAGTTCCGGAATTGGTATCTCTTTTGTCAAGGCTTGAAAATGTTTTTTTTTTCTCCAATATTGGAGGATAGGTTGTTTTGGAATATCCATTCATCGGGTTCTTTTACTTGTAAATCCTTTCTTGATAAAATTATTGATTCTTCTCATATACCTCAATTTCTGTTTCATAAAAAGATTTGGAAGGCATGTGCTCCTCTTAAGGTGAAAGTGTTCATGTGGATCTTGGTTCATAAGGGCACTTTGACAAATGATTCATTGCAAAGGAGGAGACCCTTGCGATATCTTAATCCTCAATGGTGCATTATGTGTTGTAAGAGTGGAGAGTCTCTGGATCATCTCTTTTTGCACTGCTCGGTGACTAGGCAGTTGTGGCATATGGTGTTTGGTTTGGGTAGTGTGATGTGGGTGGCCCCAAAAGGATGTGCTCAGATGATATTATTTGATTTTCAAATTTTTGGAAGGTTGAAGAGGGCTAAGGTGCTTTGGAGTGGTGTCGTTTTGCAATCTTCTGGGTCATTTGGTTGGAAAGAAATGCGCGTGTTTTCGAAGGAGTTGCTCGGGATATAGACTATTTATGGGATAAGGTGAGATATTTGACGTCTTTTTGGGCCTCAGTGAGGTCAATATTCCGAGGGACTCCGCTTTTTTTGATTGTTACAGACTGGGTGTCAGTTTGTACTGTAGAAAATTTAATGTATAAAGAGAAATAGAGAATTGTATTATTGATTGATGTATTGATATATATTACAATGATTCATGATTCCTATATATAGAAGAGGGTGAGTGTGTAGTAGGTAAGGAGTAGGTGAAGTGGAGGTGGTAGTGGTGTAGTTAAGATTGTTAGGAGGTGGTGAAGAGGGATTTGGTGAGAGTTTTTATGGAATTTTATAAGACAGGGGTGGTTAATTTATGTGCAAATGTCACATTTATTTGTTTGATTCCTAAAAGGGATGGAGCCATCAGAATTGAAGATTTTAGACCAATTAGTTTGGTGACATCACTCTACAAGATTCTAGGGAAGGTTTTGTCAAAAAGGTTGAGGGCCTCTTTAGGGGATACAATTTCTCCGACTCAGGGGGCTTTTGTGAAAGGCAGACAGATTCTAGATGTGGTTCTGGTGGTTAATGAGGTGGTCGAGGAGTGTAGGAAGGCAGGAAATAGAGGTCTTGTGTTTAAGGCAGATTTTGAGAAAGCATACAATCATGTAGATTGGAATTTTTTGGATTTTGTGATGGATAGAAAAGGATATGGGGAGAGATAGAGGTCCTGGATTAGGGGATGTTTGGTGTCTTGCAATATGTCGATGATAGTCAATGGTAAACCTGGGCAGAGTTTTAAGGCATCCCGAGGGTTGGGACAGGGCGATCCCTTATCTCCTTTTCTATTCATCATGGTAGCAGATGTGTTAGGAGGATGGTGGATAGGGCTAAAGAGGTAGGTCTATTTGAAGGCGTACAGGTTGGCAGAGATAAGGTTAGTGTGACACATTTGCAATTTGCAGATGACACTATTTTCTTCTCTGAGGGGGACGAGAGCCAAATGGTTAATCTCTATTCGGTGGTAAGGCTTTTCGGGGTACTGTCTGGTCTTAGGGTAAATTTAGAAAAGAGTAGGGTAGCGGGTATTAATGTGGATTCAAGTTTGATTCAGAGAGTGGCTGAGTTACTTGGGTGTGGTATAAAGACATTTCCGATGAAGTATTTGGGGCTCCTGCTTGGAGGTAATCGAAGGGGTGAGGTGTTTTGGAATCCGGTCGTGGAAAAGATAGGGAAGAGGTTAGAAAGGTGGAGTAGGGTTTACTATCTCGGGGAGGCAAGTACAAATGGGTTAAGACAGTACTAAATGGAATTCCAATTTATTTCATGTCTATGTTTAAGATTCCAGTCAAGGTAGCAAAATTTGTAGAAAAGTTATTAAGGGATTTCCTTTGGGAAAGGAAAGATGAAGGTCGGAAGGATCATTTGGTGAAGTGAGAAACGGTGTCCTTATCTAAGGAAAAGGGGGGTTTGGCCATTGGTAATATAGTAGCTAGAAACACGGCTCTGCTGGGCAAGTGGTTATGGAGATTTCCCGCTGAGTGTGATTCATTATGGCATGCGGTTATTAAAAGTAAATATGGGATTCAGGTTAATGGTAGGGACTCTCAGGTGGTCACGAGAGGAACCAGGCGTGCTCCTTGGAAGTCCATTTTTCAGATTTATCCCGTTTGGTCCCAATTCATTTCTGTGAGGGTTGGTAATGGGGAAAAGGTCAAATTCTGGGAGGATGTTTGGGCGGGTTCCTCGTCCTTAGCGGAATTCTATCCACTCTTGTATAGTGTTTCTCAGTCTCACTATGTTTCTGTTGCGTCTGTAGCGGGTTCTTTAGTGGCACTTTTTTCTTGGAATTTTAATTTCTGCCGGAATCTTCATGATAGGGAAGTTCCGGAATTGGTATCTCTTTTGTCAAGGCTTGAAAATGTTTTTTTTGTCTCCAATATTGGAGGATAGGTTGTTTTGGAATATCCATTCATCGGGTTCTTTTACTTGTAAATCCTTTCTTGATAAAATTATTGATTCTTCTCATATACCTTAGTTTCTGTTTCATAAAAAGATTTGGAAGGCATGTGCTCCTCTTAAGGTAAAAGTGTTCATGTGAATCTTGGTTCATAAGGGCACTCTGACAAATGATTCATTGCAAAGGAGGAGACCCTTGCGATATCTTAATCCTCAATGGTGCATTATGTGTTGTAAGAGTGGAGAGTCTCTAGATCATCTCTTTTTGCACTGCTCGGTGACTAGGCAGTTGTGGCATATGGTGTTTGGTTTGGGTAGTGTGATGTGGGTGGCCCCAAAAAGATGTGCTCAAATGATATTATTTGATTTTCAAATTTTTGGAAGGTTGAAGAGGGCTAAGGTGCTTTGGAGTGGTGTCGTTTTGCAATCTTCTAGGTCATTTGGTTGGAAAGAAATGCGCATGTTTTCGAAGGAGTTGCCCGGGATATAGACTATTTATGGGATAGGGTGAGATATTTGACATCTTTTTAGGCCTCAGTGAGGTCAATATTCCGAGGGACTCCGCTTTTTTTGATTGCTACAGACTGGGTGTCAGTTTGTACTATGTAGTTTTAGTTTATGTATCTTTTTGTATCTTCTTTTGTTAAGTTTTGGTTTTGTTTTCCATCTTCCTTGGTTTAAGTGGGTGAAGTAGGTGGAGAGTATGTGGATTTAGTGGGTTAGGTTTAGTGGAGTAGGTTTAAGTGGGTGAAGTAGGTGGAGAGTAGGTGGATTTTAACATGTACTGTGTAGTTTTAGTTTATGTATCTTTTTGTATCTTCTTTTGTTAAGTTTTGGTTTTGTTTTCCATCTTCCTTGTAGAGGATGCCTTATCCTCTTTTTTCTTGGCCTTGTGCCTTAATATATCTTTGTTTGTTACTGATCATAAAAAATAAAATAAAAAAAACAAATATTGAAATTATGATAGATAGGGTCATAAGAAGCATGGACACCCCTATTAAGAAGCATGGACACGTTAGTGCTTGAAAACAATTCACATGTCTAGTTTTTGATTCCCGTTATGCATTCTGTAGTCTGAGATACAAGTTATGCAGGAATGGGGTTCTGACATGGTCAAAGAAAACATTCTCAACTCAGCCACAGTGAAGTACACGGATTTCTTGTTAGCAACAGCCTCGGGGAAGATTGAAGGAGTAAAAGGCCCTGGAAAACTTGCAACTCCTTTTGAGAAAACAAAACTTGCAGCTTACACTTTAGGTGCCATGACTCCTTGCATGAGGCTTTATGCCTTTATAGGGAAGGAGGTTCAGGCACTTCTTGATTCCAATGAAAGCAGTCATCTCTACAAGACGTGGATTGACAATTATTCCTCTGAAAGTTTCCAGGTTTGTTCTGTTATTGAGCACTGAACATTTTTTTTTTTCTTTTTTGGTTGTCAAGCTGATGCATTTTATTGATTACAGTTTCAGTGGAAAACATTGTGGTTCACAATTCGATACGAGTTTCAACCAAAACAATTCGATTCATGTTGTTGAATCTTAAATTGAATGAATTGTGCGATTCAAACGCGATTCATTATGATTCATTGCAATTCATTACGATTTGCTTTTGCTACAATTCAGTTCTGTTTGCAGAATGTATGAAAAATCGTTTTTGCAAAATAAAACAAAAAGAGATCAATTAAATAAATTAATATATGTGGTTTTATATGTATATATATACACATATTCAATTTAGTTACATTGATATTTATTTCATTTTGAATAGTGTGTATTTTTATATGTACATGTACATATATATAATTATATATTGTGATAAATAAAATGAATCTTACAATTCGATACAATTCATAATTCACTATTTTAGAAAAAAGATACACAATTTGGTAACCATGGTGGAAAATACATTACAATGGCCTTTTTTAACTCCAACGGCTCAATTATCTTATTCTTTGAATTTAGGATTCAGCGCTGCAAACCGAGGACTTGTTGGACAAATTAAGTGTCTCTTTGACAGGAGAAGAGATTGACATCATTGAGAAGCTTTATCATCAAGCTATGAGACTCGAAATAGAGTTCTTCTGTGCTCAGCCACTTGTTCAACAAACTGTTGTTCCCTTGTCAAAAGTGCACAACCCTTTAGAGAACATCGTTTTATGATATTTTCTGATTTTGATTTGACATGCACTGTTGTTGATTCGTCTGCAATTTTGGCAGAGATTGCAATAGTAACAGCACCAAAATCTGATGAGAGTCAACCTGAAAATCAAATTGCTCGGATGTCATCAGTTGACTTGAGAAACACATGGGGAGTTCTTTCTAGTCAGTATACAGAAGAGTACGAACAATGCATTGAGAGCATTTTGCTCACTGACAAAGGTACAGTACTGGTGTAACTTTGAACAATAAAGTTTGAAGACGTTACTAGAAAGTCAATGATTAGGCTAATGAGATGGATATGCTCAGGAATTTATGATATTTATGTTGTCTTTGCAGTTGAGAAATTTGACTATGAAGGATTGCATAAAGCACTTGAGCAACTCTCTGATTTTGAGAAAAGGGCAAATTCTAGAGTGATTGAATCTGGAGTCCTCAAGGGTCTGAATCTTGAAGACATAAAACGAGCTGGAGAGCGTCTTATTCTCCAAGATGGTTGTACAGGTTTCTTCCAGAGCATCATAAACAATGAAAATCTGAATGCAAATGTCCATGTACTTTCATATTGTTGGTGTGGTGATCTCATTAGGTCAGCGTTTTCATCAGGTTTGTTCCATATTAATTGAACTGTAAATTATGAACTTCAAATTTGTATGTTTGGCTACTAAATTAGTTGTCAGTTTACTTGCTTTATACCCTGCTCAATTCACTTGTAGTTGAAACTCATTCCTTCTGCTTACAATGGAGTCTGCTAACAGTTTTAACTTTGCTAGTGTTGATATTCAACAGTTTGACTTTACTAGTGCTGATACTCAACGTTGTGATGAATGATATGCATCTTTTCTCTTCTTTCAAGCACAATTTTCCATAAATTGGAATTTTGTGTAACCAAATTAGTTTTGTTTGTCTCTATTTTGCTGTCTGTCACCTTGAAGTATAAAACCACCATGTATAGTGATTTAGTAAACATTTGTATGTGGTATTTTTTTGGTTTTTTATATGAACAGTATTGTAACCTCCTTTTATGCACAGTAGAACAATTCATGTTGACCAAGATTAGAGGGCACTAGCATTTGGTCCTTTTTCCTTTGATAAATTATCTTCTAAGAATTCAAGCAGCCACTAGAGGAGAGTGATTGTGTCAATGTATTGGAGACGGACTTGTTAGATGCACAGAAACTAGTGACCATCATAAAAATTTATGAAGTATAAATTGGTTTTAAATATGGGTATATTTGTGTATATATATAGAGAGAGAGAGAGAGAATTTTATGTGCGCTAATCATACATCATAGAGATTTTACTATTGTAAATTATCATCATTATCACTGCTGCCACTATCGGCATTACTACTATGATCACTTCATATCTATGCTATCCTACACATCATGGTTATCACTGTTGCCACTGCCACAATTACCACCATGCTCATCTTATTCTTCTTGTTTTATCCATCGTCAATAATTACCATGGTTATATGAACAGTATTGTAACCTCCTTTTATGCACAGTAGAACAATTCATGTTGACCAAGATTAGAGGGCACTAGCATTTGGTCCTTTTTCCTTTGATAAATTATCTTCTAAGAATTCAAGCAGCCACTAGAGGAGAGTGATTGTGTCAATGTATTGGAGACGGACTTGTTAGATGCACAGAAACTAGTGACCATCATAAAAATTTATGAAGTATAAATTGGTTTTAAATATGGGTATATTTGTGTATATATATATATATATATAGAGAGAGAGAGAGAGAGAGAGAGAATTTTATGTGTGCTAATCATACATCATAGAGATTTTACTATTGTAAATTATCATCATTATCACTGCTGCCACTATCAGCATTACTACTATGATCACTTCATATCTATGCTATCCTACACATCATGGTTATCACTGTTGCCACTGCCACAATTACCACCATGCTCATTTTATTCTTCTTGTTTTATCCATCGTCAATAATTACCATGGCCATTCTTATTGCCTTTGTCACCATCATCTTCTTGTTCTTATTGTTGCCCCCAAGCATACTCTTTTTCACTCCCCTTTCTTTTCTCAACCCCATGGTTCGAAAACATGGAAGGTTTTTGTAAATTTCCTTCTTGTTGGTTTATATATATATATATATTTACTTTATTAATTTTAGTCTTGGACATTGTACCTTGTCTATGTGAACTATTGCAATATGATGTGTTGCCTCATTTTGCTTTTCTTTATTTCTTTTTTTAGTTTTTTCTGTGGGTTTAACAATTACACTCTTTTAAATTTAAATTTGTACTATTATTCAAAGTTTACATGACTTCACTGATTGATTATTTGATGCATATCCATGCACTATTTCATACATACATGCAAGAAGAATCTCTTTCCTTCTTTTTAAGTTTAGCTAAAATGGGTATGCTAATGTATGGATAAATTGAGAAAGGGAAATTTTAGGGATTAATGAATTCAACAGATTGTAGAATAGCTTCTTTTGGAGATAAAATGAGGGACAATCTGTAATGATGATCAATAATTCAACTAGTAAGGAAGAGTGGCATTACCCACATTGAGGGTAATGTTTGGGGAGAAGAAAGATCCAAATTTAATTTGGGTTAAGATATATGACAAAGATATGATAACATGTGGTTTAACTTGAGTTATGACCCTTGATAAAGCAAGTTGGCGAAGTAGGATTCTTGTAGCCGACCTCAAATAGTTGGGACCAGGTGTTTTTGGGTAGAGTTGAATTGATAATAAAAAAAATAAAAGTTATGAACAAAATGTGGTTTTTCAACGGTCTTACGTTGATTTATGGACTATATTCATTTGCTAAAAAGTGAATAGTACAAACACGTGTTCGCAATCATATGATGAAATCTCTTGCAGTGGGCCTTGTGTATGTGTAGAAACTGGAAACTCGTGCTTATGTAAGCGTGGATGATGGAGTTCAGGGGTGGCTGGAACTGTTAGCATATTATATTAGCCGAAAGTGTTAGCATATTATATTAGCCGAAAGTTACACTAGGGTCTGTAATCATTTTATGCCCTCAGGGATCATCTTGTAATTGTCTTTCTTGTAAACCCTAATCTTCATTTATAAATAGGGGGTGATATTCTATCATACCCTAAGCTGGTTACCCAAGCTTCAGGAACAAGATGATTTGGAAAGATTATAGGTGCTTAGTTGGCAAGGGTTTACCAAAGGTGGAGGAGGAGAGTTGAGACACTCATTGAAGAGAGAGGGTGGAAATAGAGATCTTCTAAGCCAAAGAGAGCTATGTGGGGATGTATTGATGATGGCTCGATGATTGCTTGGGGGAGACCCTTGTATAGAGGAGGTTGGAGAATGTGGCTCTCCTCTCTAGTTCAACAATGCGGAGGAATCTCCTCGACAATATCAATATTAGGATAGGTTCTGTCTTGACCATATCAAAGTGATCATCAGATCCTGACACTGTCGCGCCATGGTACAATGTCAGGCATGCGAGATATACGCATCGTAGGTGTAGGTGTCGTGCAGACATCATGTGTCTTGTGGAAACATCTCTCATCTAACTCTAAGACTGATCAGGTGTCTCCAAGCAGGAACTTCGACCATCCCGCAACTCCAGCCTCCAACCCACAAGTCCTTTAATTATCTTCAGTGGAGATCCTAGGTTGCGCTCCTAACCTAGGTTATTCCGGAGCTAACTGTAAAATGGAGACCATGGATAGTTTGTGAGCTAAGTGTAAGTTGGAGATTCACGGATTGCATTTGACGGATCTTATTTGTAGATCAGTGTTGGAGTGAAATTGTCGAGGTATCGTAAGAGGTGCGTTAGCACATTTAGTGCCTAGACTCAACAGGATATCAGCTCATGTGTCACGAGGAAGCCACATGGCACCAACTCACTTGCAAGAGAGTGACGTGGAGATGATGTGGTGGTGCCATGTAATGGACATGGACACATGCATCTGCAGTAACCTGTGTCTTGAAAGCACGGCCTAAAGATAGGAGTTCCTATCTCTGTTGCCTATCCAAGAAAAAGTTTTCAGCCCCTACTATGTTCACGTATATCTTTGAGGTCAAAATAAAACTGATTAGTTAAAAAAATTTCGTATTATTAGGGTTTTTGTTTGCATAAGAGAACATGTGGCAGCTTGAGAAATCACCATAATACGCTACTTTAGTTGATTATCACCACATTATTTTTCAATTTCTTATATGTAAATGTCAGATCCCAGTGCATCGATGGTTGGGCTGACACTTCATGTGAATAACACCAGAGATTAAGGTCTGCATATAGTTTGCCCCTCTCAGCATTGTGAACTGATGGTACCGCAATTAAGTAATGTGCATTTTTCTTTGTGCAACATGTGGGTGGCATGCATTTTACTAGGGTTGTTTGATACTTCGTATTCTGAATGATTTGCTATTTCATATTCTATAGTGGGGACATCAATTCTTAATTCTTCTTGTTTATGTAGTTCACTCTGTTGCTGGGTAGGTTTTTTATTTTTATATTTAAATAGTGATATGATAACCTTCAATGTTTAATTCTTCCAGCTAATTTTCACCAAATGTTTAATTTTCCTTTCTTGTTTATTGGTTTCTTTATGGGAAGTAGATTGTACAAGATGGGGATTGTTTAGTTGCATATTGTTGTGATGCATATTGTTGTGATGTCATATCTGAACTTTAGATTTTGAGGGTCAATTTTTCTGTATATATGAGTGCTATTTTTGTGATTTTACATCATAAGGTGATCAATTCTCTTCTTGTTTTCTGTTGGACAGGGGGTTTGGATGTTCTGAATGTACATGCGAATGAGTTTGTCTATGAAAACTCCATATCTACGGGTAAAATTGTTAAAAAGGTTGAGTCACCAATCGATAAGCTTCTAGCTTTCAGTGATATCCTAAAGAACAGCAGCAGTGACAGAAAGGGCTTGACTGTTTATATTGGAGACTCAGTGGGTGACTTACTTTGTCTGCTTGAAGCAGATGTCGGAATTTTACTTGGATCGAGTTCAAGCCTAAGGAGGGTGGGCAGTAATTTTGGTGTTTCTTTTGTTCCATTGTTCCCTGGCTTGGTTAATAAGCAGAAAGAATGTGTTGAAGGAAACTCTTCTAGTTGGAAGGGGCTATCTGGCATTCTTTATACGGTCTCTAGTTGGGCTGAAATATATGCTTTATTTTTGGGGCCGTAGAATCTTTTTCTTTTGTTCATGAGTCCATCATGTTAAGTTAGGACAAATGAAGGAATCTTTACATATAATAGAACACAGATATATACAAGTTGGTGGCTAATTTCATTACGGGCCACAGATTTAAGTGTTTTATTCCCTTTTTGTCTTTCTACAAGGACTTCTGTTCAGAGATGTAAATGTCTATCTTTTGGCTGGTTGTGTTAAACGGGGTATTTGCAATCTCTCTCTCTCTCCATTTGCTATTTTATTTCCTCTTTAAAAAAATACTGACTTCTTTCAATTGAAATTTTGTCAGGTGTTGAGAGGTTTCATGCGGTAATCGTCCCATAATGGAGGGTGTTCTATAATAATTCCAGATTAAGTTTGATACTTTGTACTTTCACAGGTTGTTGCTGTCAGTTATTTTGCGGAATGGCAATTTAGTGAAGACTATGGATTTTATTGAAGACTATGGATTTTATGTAATATTGGTTCTGAAAAGCCAGTTCTTGATCTTTCAATTCTCTGCTTCTCTGTATAGTATGGTGTAACTTTACCATGGAATAATAGTTTTATAGTCAAATATATCCTAATTTTGATGGCATTTTCAGAGAGGATTATCCTTGTTCAGCATAAAGAAGTTTATAATATTGTTCTTTCCCATTGCATTTATCATGCAATTATTTGATAGACTGCAATCAATTCACTTTCCATGTCTTTGTAATTGAGCATGAACCAAGTGAGAGAGAAATGACAACTTCAAGACCTCTAGGTTATGTTGGTATTCATTCTCCATATTTTGTATGTCTTTTATTAGAAGAGTGACTAGTCATCTGATATTTATTTTTCATCTTTGATTCATTTTGTGTAGCAAACTGTCTTTTAAATGTAGAGATTTTGTATGCTTACTGTTGAGGAAAAGTTTCTGGACTCATATGGTGTAAGTTACTCAGCTTGTTAAATTAGACATGTAATTCTCTTCTCTTGAATAAATTTACATACACAATATGGGGTTGTGACAAAATGTAACGCAACCGTTGGCTTAGTTTTTAATCTAATATTTGGATTTAAAAAATCAAAAAATATGTTTGGTTAATAAATTTTTAAAATTATTCTCTCTCCCCCTCTTTTTTTTTTATATTATTAATAAATCAATTGATCACTTCTTTTATTTTTCTTTTATTCTCTCACATTTTACATAGCAATTAATCAAATTTTCTCTCACACGTCTATTTAACGACAAAAGAAAAAAATAATTAAAATCATCTCAAAATTCTTTTCAACTTGTCGTTCAAAATACAATTTAAAATTCTTTTTAAAAACTATAAATCAAGCAAAGCTTAAGTTTTTGTCGGGTACGAAAATGGGATATGCTAATGGCCTATGGGGTTATCGTTTTAGGATAAGCTCCTTTCAATATCTCATCTCTTCATAATTTTTCATACTCTTCATATAGATTTCAATCTGAACTCATATTGATGATCTGAATCATCTATCTTGGTGGCCTCACAATAAAGGTTATTTATGTAAAAAATCAATTTTATTAGAAAATTATAAATACAAAAATTAATTTTATAAAATGAATGGTAAATATAATTAAATTTAAATTATCTATTTTATAAAATAAAATATATTTTGTTCTCATGTTTATAGTTGTCTGATGAAATTAATTTTTTTGTATAAATGATCTTTATTGCGGAGTTTCGAGATAAATGATTTAAAAACTTACAAGAAGAATATGAGGAGATGCCTACAGCTCTTACTTTACAGATGGGTTCCCTTACTGTACCGTAACAAATGCATGTTTCAATCTCTCGTCTCTCAGGTTTGTAGCATGACAACTAAAGCTTGTACTGGGCAGTGCCCTTACCTGTGTCTGAGGTTGAGCTATGTGATTCTCAATTTTTTATTTTATGTTTTTTTTCATTTTTGGTGGAGTGGTTATCAGTCTCCGGCCTATTGATTGCTTCGAATGGCAAATTTTAACATCCAAGTTGTGCTGGACCTCAATAAGCTCACAGATAATGCTGATTTGCGCGTGGTTTAGTTTTTACTTAAATTCAGCTTTGGTTGAAAATTTTTGGAGCAGTTATGCATCTACAGGTGAAGAATGCACTTTTTGTAGTGTTTTGGAAAGTTGACTTTTGACTTTTTTAACTTTTTGGTGTTTTTTTATAAAAAAAACTGACTTTTTGTGATTTTTTTGATAAAAAACCAAAAACTAACTTTTTTTAACAAGTTCCCAAATTGACACTTTGTAACAAATGATTTTATGATAGAGGGGGTAATTTGATTGATATGAATGGATGGATGGCAATTAATTGTTAATGAAGGATTATTCACTACTTTACTTGTAGAGGTTGTCAAGTTTTGGTAGCTAGTCAGATCAACTAAACAATCCCTAATTAACTCGTGTGACTGTTTAATTTTCCTTTGAAATTCTACCAAAATTTAAGATTGTGTCTTGTATCTATGTTTGTGTCGAATGTTTTCATTCTAACCATTCTCAAACTTTGTTTGAGAGTTATAAATTTTGTCAAATATCTTATTATGGGATGTTTTGGGAACTTGGTTTTTAGTCACTTTTTTAGGTTTGTAGCATAAGTCAAAAGTTAACTTTTTGTATTTAAAGATATTTGAAAAGTTAGTTTTCAGCCACTGGCGAAATTACAATTCTACCTCTCATAGATCAAAATGTGCTACATGAGTGAAGTTGTAAATATATCAAATTGAATGGGGGTAGTTTGGTCATTTTATTGTGATTTAACATCATAAATAAATATTAATAAAAAAAGCCAAAAGTAATTTTTTACTAACTTCCTAAATCATTTATCTAAAAAAAGTCAAAAGTATGGTTAAAAGTCAAAAAATTACTTTTTACCGTATTTCCAAAATAGGCCTATATAACATATGGTATGATTATTGGTACGTTTATTAATGTTTCTAACATTAATTGTTAATTTTTTCTTAAATATATATGTGTGTGTTAGGTTAGGTGTAAAAAAAACATTGTTTGGTGAAAACCATTATATAGTGGGGACCTCTGTCTATGTCTTGCTTATAATTCACAAAAATAAACCAATATGATTATTGCATAATATGACTACTGTTAATTTCCCTAAACATAATTAGCTGTGGAAGTTTTCTAATTGTAATTGATTCTTCTTTTGTCTCATCAGATGTGCACAAGCCCCATTATGTGCTTTGATCAGGGGCACTTTTGTATATATATAAAGTCTATAATGTGTCATCAATTTTACATGAATTTGGGACTACCTAGCAATTATAAGTTGGGACCCAAGCTCTTGTCTTAGTGGTCATGAGTGGGTATTTAGGTATTAATGAGATGAGGTTCCACAATAAAGTGGTTTTGGCCTGGTATAGTTGTTCAACTGTATTAATCTATTAAGATCTTATCATGTGAAATTAAAAATAAGTAGAATCATAGAACATTTTACGAATAAAAATTTACTTATTTGATTGTTATAATTATGAAAAATAATTTTTATATAAAATCAGTTTTTCAAAGATAAATTTGATATTGCAAAGTATCTTGATATGTTTTTTTTTATTTTTTTTAAATTTGATAATAATAATAATAACTGATTTTAGCATATTTGTCTTTAAAAAAAAAATTGATAATTTAGTTTCAAAATTATACAATCACAATCATGTGATTACGATAATTAGATCAATTTATTTTTTCAAGAATAAACGCATGATATTTTTCGTCCATAAATGAGTTTTGTATTATTTTATATTTCAAAAATGCCCTATTTTAGTGATGAATTGCGAGTACTATGGAACAATTTATGCAAGTTCATGTCACCATTTTTCATTTAAAAAATTTATTTATATATTTTTTTTGAAAGTTCATATAATTAAAGTTTGAGAGCGATTTTTCATTAGTCCGGAATCAGAATGGACAGTATTATTGGGTCACGATGGGTCTGACTCCAGCCCATCTTAATAATCCAAATCATTTAATATGTAGAGCTCGTTAAGTATATCATCGTTATAAAAAATTGCGTTAATCAAATATTGATAACTATTTAATTAAATTACATTTGTTTCGACGACAGTTATGATTTTAAAAATAAATCACAAATACAAATGTAATTTTATCAAGAAACTATTGATATCCGATCAACTTAATTTCTTTACATGAATGATATACTCGACAAGTTCTATACATTGTCAGTTTGAATTATCGAAATTGATTCAGAGCCCCCATCAAAGCTTAACAGTACTATCTAATATATTTTTGAATTGGGGAGAAACTATTTTGTTAAAATTTAGGCATCGTTTGGGAACAAGCTAATTTAGTAACTTTTTGGTTATTTAGCTAAAATATGAGCTAAAAAAAACTAGTATGCTTGGGATGACTTTTTGAATTTTTACGAAAAGATGTGCAAAAAGTAGAGAGAAAAAGAGAATCTTTGATTTTTTGGTATGAATTATTGACTTTTTGACTAATTTAATAACTTTTTAATTAAAATTGAGGATTTTCAAACGTGGCCTTAGCATAAATATATAAAAAATTCTGCATGCTTTTTGGATTTGGATGTGACTGATTTGAAATGATTTTCAGAAATGTCATAGCGTTTAGTGACCAAAAGTAGAAAAGCATGGACAAAGTGGAACCACCTAAAGTTAGTATTATCAATGGTGAAAAAGACCCAACAAATGAGAGACGTCGGTCTCAATTTTAAATTTAAATTTTTAAAAATTAAATTTTTTATTTTTTATATTTTTAGTGAACATTTTTAAATTTTTAAACAATTTTTTTATTTTTTTAGATGCACCTTATTTAGATGTATCTAAATAGTAAAAATTTTATGAAAAAATATTTTAAAAAATTAATAAATACACAAAAATACAAAAAATGCACTGAATTTTCATTTTTTTTTGTAGTTTTGGTATTTAGTGAATTTTTTTTAAAAAATCACAAATATTATACTTTTTAATTGTATTTATATCAGGTGTGTCTACAAATTAAAAAAATAATTGCTTAAAATATTTTAAAAAATTATTGAAAACAAAAAAAATATGAAAAATAAAAAAAGTAGAATTTTTTTAAAAGTGTTTTCTGAAAACTAAAACTAAACAAACTTATTTATTTATTTTCTTTTTTCCTTTTTTGTAGGAACATTCGAATTTCAGTATTTCACTAATGTTGCATTTTGCTTTTCTGGAAAATAGAAAGCTTTCAGCCATTTTGATAGAAATAAACAAAAAAATATTTCTTATATTCATTCTTGTAGCCAAAATAAACAAAAAGAACAGTAAAGTATATTTTATAAATAAATAAAAAGGATGTTGAAGTAAATTTGAGTTTTTCATCTTTGGTTTGGACCCAACAATTCTCATGGATTGCTTATGGACACAATTTGGGTTAACAATTTGAGTGGAATATGAATTCAACTTGGTGACTAAAACATCACCTTTTTACTAGGTTTGATTTGATATTTAGCTTCTTCTTTTTTTTTTATCTTTTAGTTTTGGCTTTTAACAATTAAAAACAAAAAATCAAAAGGAACATTGTTTTGCTAATTGCTAAAATAGTCAAAATATCAAAAAGTTATTACTTAAAAAATTATTATTTCTATTTTTTTGCACATCGTTTCTTAAATAAAAAATTAAAAATTAATTCCTAACATAGCTAGTT